CTGGTGCCCGACCAATATTTGAGCTGGTGGGGGTTTGTGGCGTGTCATTTACCATGATATCTGATGTCAAGAGTTAATTAAACTTCTAAAGTGATTCGTGCTGTATAGTGTTTAATTTGTCACTACCCTGGGATCTGTCTCTGCTGTTCCTGCTAGTCACTGCTTTGGGGATGATATAGTCCCTGGACTATATCTGATACTTGCCTAAAGCCTACTGACCAGGTAGCTTAGTGATATACTGATAGGGTATGGGTCTGTGTAAGGGGATAATGATCTGAATAGGATTAAGGGTAATCCAAAGATATATAAGAATAATAACAGCAAAGATAGAAGCAGGGCCTATTAAGTATGTATACTCAATAGTAAAAGAGTAGCTGGCGAATCGGACTAGTGAACTTATACTTAAGTGAATAACTTATATTAAACGCGAGGAACTAAACTAAGAGTGCTAGATATAATGGTAATAAGTGTCCTTATATATCCTTAGTTCCTCCAAGTGGTAGTTGAGATAGATGGTAGGATGGTATGTTGGTAGATGTTAGTGATACTGATATACCATCTATTGTATCTACCCATCTATCATTGCCAAGCCGTGGCACATGGTAGTTGGTCATATAACATGACAGCCGTATTTGGCATCTTTTTAGTAAATACAAATTGTCCTCCATAACAACTTAGTTATTTACCAGAGATCAGTCATGTGGGTGACTGATGGTGCTGGTTGCCCATATGGTGTAGTAGTATATAACTGAACTGTTTTTCTGCGTGGAGGAATCCGTCCGGATTAAGTGTTTCCCCAGATTGCTGGGTGATCATTTTGAGATTGATTGGTGTTCGATAATCCTTGGGATTCTGCCCGTCACATCCGCCTTGCGCTAATGCGGCTGTGTTGGTGTCGTAACACTGAGTAGCTTTGTAACTTATGATTAAAAACTGTAATAATGAGCTCGTGAACTTTGGACGAGGCGGTGGTGACAAAGTAGATCTTGTCTGGTCACTCACCTGCTTGAGGTAGATGATGGAGAGACCATGTAACTCCTATGCCTACCACACCTCAATCGTTTGTTAAGGGGATCTAGCTACTAGACTGGAGATCAGGCTATCTTCTCTACTGTACCCCTTTGGTGATTTTGTTAGTACAGTGGGCCTTGCAAGGGGGCGAATCCTTCCAGTATCTATCATTGCTTTCCTAATAGTAATATATGAAGCTAGTAAGACCTCCTATCTTTGTGAACCTAGCAAGCAAGCCATGATTATCAGATTAACACTATGCCTACCCTAGAACCTAGCACAACCCCCCCTTCTTTTCCCTTAGCAGATAGCCGAGCAGAGGCGTAATTCTACACATCTTAGTTATGATGATTAAATTTGCATTCTAACTCTCTGAGATGCTGGTTTTACCTGTTAATAGATTACTTACTAGCTTCACATCACATATTACTAGGTTCAGTATACCTACCAAAGCCAGTAATCAACACCTAAAAAGGCTCTAGGTAAGCCACTAAAGCTCTCTAAGGAAGATGTTAATAATATTGTTAGTCACTACATTTGGTAGTAGTAGTGAGGGCCTTTGTAAGTTGGAGGAGCCGGGCAGCAGTTGTATGATATGACCTGCTCTCTCCCTAAGCTAGGGCCATACTCACTGCTATATATCTATGCTAGGAGATATCATACCTTAGTAGCTAACTTTATAGTTCTAATTACTCTTAAAATCTAATTAGCTTATTATGACACCATAAAGTTGATAATTAGTACTAGATCTTCCTCTAGCACCCTAACCTAATAAAATACATTAACCCCTATTATAGAATATGCTGGTAGAAGGTGTCAGACGATAGCTCAAGTTACGACTACCATGAACTAAATCATGGGGCCGCTGGACCTCTGGTTAGCGAGATGTCTCAAGAGAACGTTTTGCCAAGAAAGACTTCTACAATAATTTCAGAGATCTCATTGCCTCTTTTTCTCTTGTTATTCCTCTTAGTGTCGTTCGCTGAACTCCGATAGGTAATCGAGATGGTCCAACTCATGTCATGTGGTGTGGCGTCTAGCAATATTACCTAGCTGCTGCCTCGGATCCTTCCGCTCAGCTCGCCTGGACACCGGAGTTTCTTCGAAGGTAATACATTGTCTCACGGAGGAAAGTAAGTCAGCGAACACACTTGTAATCGCCATTGTCACATATAAAAGGGAAACAGTCGATCTCTTCAGTCCCAGTAGTTCAATTGCCATCTTACCATTCGTTTGCAAGATGTTGAGCACATTTTTCTGCATTGCCAGCGCGGCGGGCGCATTGGCTGCATCTGTAAATACTCGTGATCAATTCGATTCGTCGGCATATGCTGCAAAAGACGTCGTCGAGCGAGATTTTGCCATTATCGGCGGGGGAGCAGCAGGGACTTATGCAGCAGTCAGTCTGGCCGATCAAAACAAAACATTCACCCTAGTCGAAATATCGGACCGACTTGGGGGACACACCAGGACCTTCCACGACCCCGCAACCGGGGCCAGCGTCGACTTTGGCGTGCAGATCCACCTCGATGACCCGATCGTTCGCGACTTTTTTGCCCGTTTGCGAACCCCTCTGGCAAATGTGGAGCTCAAGGATTTTGGCATCCCCAAATATTACGACTTTACCAAGCGAGTTGCCCTTACCAACTACACCCGGGGCAATATCCAGCCGGACTATGTTGCAGAGCTCGACAAATATCCTTATGTCGACAATCTGGTCGACCTGCCCAACCCTGTCCCTGCCGATCTGCTCCTCACTTGGCCGGAATTCGTCAAGAAGCACAATCTCTCCCCCGGCTCGGCCGAGGGTGGTCTCTCATGGCCAGCGACCCCTGGAGATCCATTGGACACCACCGCTCTTGCCATTTTAAACGATGGCAATCACATCGAGTTGGCCGAGTTTGCCGGAGCTGCTGTTCACAGTGCCAATCACGACAATTCCCAGATTTACGTTAACGCTCTGGCCGAACTGAAGCCGCATGTGTTTTTGAAATCTTCCATCATCGCAGCTCGGCGTGGATTGACCCGCCAGTGCGGCGTGCAGCTCGTGGTCAACACCCCATCTGGCAAAAAGCTCATCAAGGCAAAACAGCTTATTATTGCTATGCCGCCGGTCTTGGACAACATCAAGTATTTCGGTCTCGACCAGCAGGAGCAGGCCATTCTGAGCAAGCTTTCTGGCAAGCATTACTACGGTGGCGTCGTGAACAACACCGGGCTTGAGGAGGGCGTTGCTTATACCAATGTTGGTGTGGACAGACCGTACCACGTCGCCAGTCTGCCTGGTGTGGTCGAGATCGCCCCTTCGGCTTCTCCTGGTTACCTTTTCTACTGGTACAACACGGTCCGGGCCCAGACACGGGCCGAAATTGAAGGTGCTGCTCGAAGCACCATCAAGTGGCTGCAGACACAGGCCAATGCTAAGGCGCTGGAGCCGAAGTTTGTCGACTTCCAGGATTATTCACCGTTCCATCTGAGCCCTCCGACCAAGGATATTGCTGCCGGCTGGTATGATAAAATGAAGGGTCTCCAGGGTCATAGGAACACTTGGTATATCAGTTCTTTGTTCGTGGCTGGCTCAACCCAGGTCTGGAACAGCACCCACACCATGCTTCCGGATATTATCACCGCTGCTGAGTCTTAGACTGTGCCAAAATCCGCGATTGGGGACAAACTTGTGACGACCAGCTCGCCACTGTCAACTGGCGAATCACCTAACCACTTCGTGGCTCTGATCAATTCGCGTTCTGTTGGACTTGGAGGTTTTAGAGTTCCCAGGAGATGTAGCCAACTGGTGAGTCTGGCATTTGGAGCAGGTGTATAGTGGGTATATCTCTGAGCCTATTGTAAATACTTAGTAGTATTCTCTTTTATAATCCATCCAGTATGGAGCCATTATCTCGTATATTACTGTTTTATAGAACATGTATGAGCGTTATTAATTCCCTTTAAGCTAATAGGCTTTAATAATGCCTGTCTTAAGGTCTACCTATTTGGGAGTAAAAGTTTTAGATAATAAGTATATATATAGAGTAAAGAAAGTAGTAGAATACATATTAGTAGACTACCTATGGCTAAGTAAGCTATGATAGCAATTATAGAGGAGGATTAGACGGGTATTTGATAATATATTAGATATGCTGGGAGGAGGACGTTAAAATAAGGAGGATAAGTTCAAAGACATTCTAGAAGATAGTAGTGCCTCAGGTATAGTACTAGACTTTATAGAGTTCGAATAACCTGGCGCTGACATTGAGAAGCATGGCGTTAAAGGCTCAACGCCGTTGTAAAGACTGCAAGCTGCTCAATGCCCCAATCAAGGCACACGTCAGACGGTGACTCCCTTTCAAGACATTCAGCTTGCCATGTTGCTGCAGCAAAGACCACGGTGCCATCTAGGGTGCATTGGCGAGGCTTGTGCTTCCAACGCTAGCGAGCTTGGAGTAGTTTATATTGCATGAGGCATGTGTTGTACGCAAGCTCTTTCTTAGACCAGGTTCCCATTTCACCGCAGAGGGATGGTGTGGCTTGCTTGAAGCTGGGTTCATGTCCTTGGCTGTGGTTCTGGCCCGCCCCGTCCCGTTGGGATGCGGGAGATGAACGCACATTCATGCGAGCTTATCTCTAATATCTACTGCACGTAGAACCAAAGGTCAGGACAGAAACAAGCTGGTCAACTGCCAAAATCTAAATAAATCAATGAAACTATTCACATCTTCTGGCTACTTCAGAGAAATGTTGCTATGTATCATGCATTGTATGTCGTGGCCTAACCCAGACATAATGGCTTTCTTGTCATCTAATAGAATTCTTGCTTCATAATCAAGCGTCTCGTACCCACTTCTACTTTCCAACGTTGGTGAGCTCAAAAGCTCCCATCCAGGTCCAATGCTTCCGCTGGAGGCGCGAAAGCGCTCAGACCAGAACAGTATGGACAGTCAAATTTGGCTAACCAAGCTCATTAAATTTTCGGCCACAGCTCGTGTTGATCAGAGAATTGTCAGTGTCTCGTCAATGGGCAGTTTCATGGGTTTCTCGGGACGAGCAGCTTGCTCATCTCCATAGTTGAGGTGGGCCTTCAGTTTATAATCGTCAGGGACACCCGCGAATTTCTTTATAGTTGCCTCGATGGCCGGAATAGCATTCATGTGCTGCAGGTTAGCGCCCACTCCCCCCAGTTCCAAGGCAGTCCAGACAAGGATCTGGTAGATGCCTTGAGTGTGATCACCCCACTCGCCAAAAATATGACCAGTCGCCTTGTGCATCTCTGCAGCTTCTTAGGCCGTCTGACCACGCTCCCAGAAGAGTATCTAGACCCTGTTAGGCTGCGTGTGAATTACGAAAGTTGTTGACATACGGAGCCATATGCAGCCTTATGACTTTGGAACATGGGGCCCAACTTTTGCCAGAGACCTAGATTGATCGATGTGAGGACAGGCTCGGCCTCCTTGAGAATAATGCTCCAGAGCTCCTTATGCTTCTCCCCCAAAGCGAGCGAAATGCAGACAGGCTGAGTGTTGTAAGACGAGGGGGCGAAGGAAAGGACTTTGGAGATGATCTCTTGGACACGTTCGTCAGAGAGCTTAGAGGTTCCTGCTAAACCATGAACACTGCGACGGTAAGCTGTGATGGAATGCATCTTGACAGAATATGGGAAATGGTTGTTCCGTCAGTCTTGGCATGCACCCCATGATATATATATATAAACATATATACATACCGCGCCCCACACCAGCCAGTGGCCGCAGAGATATCAGCCCAATAATCCCCGCGAAGGTATCCAATGCTACTAGGCGATGTGGGTTGGCTATGCTTACTAGAATCACCCATGCTGATGATGAGGCGGCTTATGTTTTTCTTTGGCCATGATAACTGTGCAGCAAATCGCAGCAAATCGCTGTGATTGGCCCCTGGTTTGCCTAATTTTCTTTCGCGGGTGATAGAAAGTCCGCCTCAGAAATGTTTCCCCGGAGGACAGACCGAAAGGTGATAATATATGTTGAAATTGCTAAGGCTAGTACCATTCATGGATCACTAGTAATTTATATGGCCAATCGGAAGTCAATGAAGGCCTGATTCTTCTAAACGAATGACTATCTAGCTCCTATTTACGCCTCTCGATAGGGGTCAGATTTGAGGGTATTCAAAACGATCGAATGCTATCGGATATTCGGCCAAGTGTGGCAGTGCTACGCCAATTCGTATGCTTCCAAATCGGGTAAGCGGTAGTATAATTCAATAATATAGCACGCAGGAGAAAATTACTTGAGGACACGTCTTCTTCAGGTCATTGATCATCGTTCATTTGGATAAACGAGCCAATGAACAGGGAGCCGTCGTCTTCGATGCGTTTCCGATATTTGAAAAGCTGATAAGTTCTCTCAAATAAACTACTGGAGCCTAAGGCAGCGTAACGGCCGGTTCATTTCAAAACCCAGCTCCCCTTATGCTTATTGTAATCAATCAGGTGTCTTAACCAAATCGAATGCAAGCAACGGCTAACGTAGTGAGCGTTTACCGCAATAAATTGTTTGTAGAGAAGACACAGCAGCAAGGCCGCTTCTCCTATAGACCGTCAGTCTAGCGCTGGACGTTTAAAGTGTAGATTACCCCCCTTTGGGATTCGGTCACATCAAAAGCCAACGCCTTTTGGGATACCTGCCTACACATCGATAATTTTCTTTCGGCCGAGCTACCTCACCTCTGTACTGTTGGCTTGGCCAGGTATCTTCATCAATATCCCGAAGGCCAGCATCGTAGGCCAGTGCTGCCGTCTAGCCTCGACCCTATGGATCTTGAAAGAGGGACCTTGTAGCAGGGAGAGAGATGAGTGGTCGCAGTATTTATAAAATCTACATAGTTGTACAAGCCCGATTCTGGGCTGCACAAGCCTTGGTCCGCCTGTTTTCCGCTCGTTTTTCAAGCTCGTAGCCTCCTGTCTATTGGCAATGGGTCTGGTCCGTTATGTCTCCCTTCTCGCTGCTCTGGTGCTGGCCGTGGTAGTCTCTGCGTTTGCAGCATCTCATCGTGAATATGGCACAGTCAAAGACTCCGAATTAATCTCAACTAAATCAACATTTTAAAGAATAATCTTGCATTCATAATATAGACAATCCCTTTAACCGTATTTGGATATCTTTCTTGCTTCAAATCTTCCTGTGGTGAACAAGGAATACTCATCTCAAGGACTCGACGACTTGGATGTGAATTCCGTAGACTGTTATAAATTGGCGGATCCTACGAGCGCTCACCTCAGAGGATGTAGCCCATCTCGAGGAGCAGCCACACTTGGCCAAGTACTACACATGGCTACGTGAATTGACCGCCAAAGCCGCCAAGGAATCGACCCCGGACGACCCTGAGCAGCGTCAAGAGTACATGGCCGCTATGGCCTTGCAAAACGTCGATGGGGAGTTGGTGTGCCGCCTCGGCCCTCTCCTCCCGTCCATCCTCCGTGGTGAGCTCACGTGGACGTGAGTGGGTTGCTGAATGGGTACAATGCCAACGCGAAGCGTCGGTCATCAGCACTTAGACAGCTCTCTACGCTGCTGCGCAAGGTTGCACACAAAAACCCAGGTGCCCGCGTCCTCCAGATCGGTACCGGAATGGGCGTTCAGGCGACGCGTCGCATACTGGAGACGCTTGGCACGCCCAAGACGCCTTTGGTGGCGAGCTGGCACGTTACAGAGCCATCTTCAGAGTCCCTGGAGGATGCCCGTTCTCAGCTTGCTGACTGGGCCAAATTACTCTAGTTCGACCAACTCGACATCGAGCAGAGCCCGGCCAAGCAAAAGTTTACCCCAGGGAGCTACGACATCATTGTAGCCTTCCAAGCTCTACGCGCCACCAAGAACGTGACCAGTGCTGTTGCCAATGTGCGCAGCCTGCTGAAGCCAGGCGGCACGTTCCTCTTTGCGGAGACGATCAAGGACCAGGTGGATGTGGATTCATCTGTGGCTTGCTGCCGAGCGGTGGCAAGGCGAAGAGTCCGATCGCCCAACACTCACAGCGTCCTCATGGGATGGCGTGCTTCGGGACGCTGGGTTTAATGGTGTGGATCTTGAGATCCGTGACTCGGAGAGCGACATCATCCACACCAACAGTACCGTCATGTCCACGGTGCCGCTCGCCGAAGACCAGAACTCCAGCCTGAGCAATGCTAACCACCGAGAGAGCTTTGCCGTGGTCACCAGCAGCAAGGCATCTCCACCACCAGGCTTTGTCGATCTGCTATCCCGGCGTATCCAGGCCCTGACCGGTGCTGACACTCTCGCCGAGCACCTGGTGCTCGAGCAAAGCGGCTTCGACACCTACAAGGGCAAGATCTGTGTCTTTGTGGGCGAGATTGACGGACCAATACTGGCGGAGCCCGACGCAGAGCGTATGGAAGGCCTCCGCGCCATGGCCACGCAATGCAGCGGCCTGCTCTTGGTCACGACCAGCGTACCGTGGAGAGCGAGGCACCCGAGCGGGCCGTTCACCAGGGCTTCCTGCGTGTGCTGCGCAACGAGTACATCATCCGCGCTTCCTCTCCCTGGACCTGGGCCCTGCACATGCAGCCGAGAGATGGTCCTCGGGTGGAGAGGTTGTCGTCTCGGCTATCGTTGAAGTACCCGAGGAGGGGTTCGGCCGTGCCGACACTGAGGCTGGCCCGGCTGAGTTCGAGTACGCCGAGCGTGACGGTGTCCTGCACGTTCCCCGGTACTACAAGGACGAGCAATACAATGATATGGTCACTGGCCCGCTTGTGTCGCACTGGGGTGAGGTACTACCAGTGGCCAAGGACGAAGAAGGGAAGTATCGATGCTATTGCCAGCATTCCCTTGGAGCCCGTATTTCGGGAGGACCAGCCACTGCGGCTGGACATGGGCATCCCGGGACACTTGGACACATTAGCATTCATTGACGGTCAAGAAAGCCAGGAGGCGTTGACACATGTGCTCGTTGGGATTACCCCTCGGGCCTACGCAGTTTGCTGGAACAGATGAACAGGTCCACATGGTCCCTCGGCCGAAGGAGGTCACAGCTCCAGCCTGACTGCTGCCTGATGCATCATACCTCATCGTGGGTGGTGTGGGCTGTATCGGACATTTAGTCGCGCACTGGCTGGTAGCTCACGGTGCTGGAAACCTGATCCTACTTTTTCGTAGCGCCGGCGATCTCGACCTCGACAAGAACAAGGATACTGACGGCGCACTATTCATCCGCGAACTGCGCGAGGCGAGCTGTTGAGTCAAGCCCATTAGCAGCGATGTTGCCCTCACTAGCTCACTGACCAAGGCTCTCAGGGCCTGCGAAGACGACGGCTTCCCACCAGTACGCGGCATCATCCAGGGCGCCATGTTACTACGCAATGCTATCTTCAAGCATATGACTCTCGATGACTAGAGTGACAGCCTATGACTAAAGCTGTATGGCACCTAGAACCTACACACCAAGTTCTTATAACCAGCCTCACTTAACTTCTTCGTCATGCTATCATCTGTCTCAGGCGTGGTAGGCACTGCATTGCAAGCTAACTACGCCGCCGGCGCCTCCTACGAAGACGCTGTGGCGCGCTGGCGCCAATCCCAAGGCCTGCCCAGCGTGGCCATCGACCTCGGCCCCATCTCCGACATAGGCTACGTCTCAACCTCGGCCAAAGTCGCTGAGCGCCTGCGCAAGGACAGCGACTTCGCCATGCTTGATGGGGACATCGTGCTCCGTGCGCTCAACACCGCCATCCTACACCCGCTCAGCGCCCGTTCCCAGATCATTGTCGGCCTCAACTCCGCCCCGGGCCCACAGTGGGATGCCAACGGCCGCTCGCAGCTGGGCCGCGACGCGCGCTTTGCACCTCTGCGACCGCGCAGCAAAGCCTCCGCGCGACTAGCTGATGGTGAGAGCACCGGCGGTTCGCTCACCGCGCAGCTCGCGGAGGCGAGTGACCGCCAGGACGGAGCAGGGCTTATCAGCGCTGCTATTGCAGCTAAGCTGGCCGATATCTTCATGACACTAGTTGCGGAGATTGATCTCAGCAAGCCCCCGGCGCACTATGGGGTCGACTCACTGATTGCGATGGAGCTGCGGAATATGCTCGTCTTGCAGGCCGCGGCGGATATTTCCATCTTCAATTTTGCAGACGGCAAGCCTTGCTGCGCTGGCGGGTTTGGTGGCGGAGAAGAGCCGGCATTTGCAGGGTGCTTAGAGAGGGGAGTGCTGGTAGCGGTTGGGTATGGGGCTGGACTTCCTTTCATGCTGGGTTGAGATATGGCGTTTCCAATTTTTTCCCTATCAGATTGACACTGAGATCAATGGTATGGTTGACGCAGGTGGTTTATCAGGTTTAACAGATGTTTTGTCGTGGACTTTATCGTTGTGTTTTGATTTGTATAGACTACACTATTACCATATATATAGACCATTTGAACTCTTTATGCAGCAATACAAGCCTCATTTTCAAATAGTTGCACTGCATTTCAACCTCTCTGGTGTGCGGATACATACTCATGTTGGTTGTGTCCAAGGCTGACTTGGAGAGTTGTCCCGGGGCTGTACTGTCCGCACCAGAGCTCTCCTTGCCTGATTCGTTGATTTGCAGACAGAGAGTAAAAGGGGCCAGTCGTTAGTGCTGGGTTCCTTACAGACGGGAAATCAGCTCAACCATGGACCAGAAGCGCGCGGACTATCAAAGAGGAGGAATTGGACAAGTGAGGCTCCAGAAGGTAATTGCTGCATGGCTTCTTCGCCTTATAGGTGTCTTTTCCGATGCGCCTACGAGGCATTTATTCATGAAATCTTGTCGAACTTGGGCTCTGCAGGATTATAATCGACTCAACCTAAGCCACGATTTTGTTAAAACTATGAAGGCGAATCTTGCCAACTCCGACAGGGAACCTATGCAATGAGCCTCTGGCACAGTGTACAAATCTTCTATATTCCGGATTGGTTATGTCCATCCATATAAACAAGTATGTCGAACATCAAGTATGGTTTCCTCTCCAAAACTCCGCAGATTGCCCGCCTGTGCATACGCTAACACACGTAAAGTAACGCCTCTTCATATGTCATTATTGATATATATCTGAATGTGACCTCAAATGCTAGGTGAGGGCGCACCAGTTGTCGTTCTGGGGTTCTAAGAGTTGGAGGAAGTTTTGGGCAAGCTTGTTGAGAACGGTCGAGGCTTGCAACGTCGTTACGATGCCGGGCATGAGCTTGATGTAGGCGTCGTTTAGCCCGGGGTGGGATTGGGAGAATCGGGCGCCTAGGAGGAGTAAAATGGGCGTCAAGGGGTGCATCTGCTAGATTCTTAGCAATTCGACTTTCACGCTATGATGGAGTGAGAAAGGAGTGGGGGTGGATATTCACCTGAAAGTGCTGGCCGAGTACGGAGATCAGGAGAGCCATGTCGGCCACGGAATCCAGTGACTGCTGCTTGTGTGCCGTGTAGAGAGCCTGAGTAAGCTGCATTCCTGGTGCATCGGTACCTAGGGGCCTGGATTCGATAAGGTCGTAGAGCATAAGCACGGCTATATGTGCCGCCAGGGCAACAAAGGCAATGATGGGATCTGGGTACTCCAATGACGCATATATGCGCAGCATCCTGATGCGTTGCGCTAACAGGGCATTAAGAGAACGATGTCGACGGCAGAACTCTTGACAGGCTCGGGCCGGAGGTTTCTGTTTATGTTCCAGTACCCGTCCACAGATGGTAGCTCCGATGACGCTCTCTGTAAAGGGCGATAGGTTTTTATGTGGCCACTCGAGGTCAACGACTGCAATCATATCCGCGAGAAAATTCATCTCCATGGGCCGACTACTTGCGAAGTTCGCTTCGGGAGCCGGCAGGCGGGTACGGATCTAGCAGTAAGTAAATATATTGTCCTTCGCATGAAAGGGGACTTGAGGCCAACTCACCAGCCGTTCATCAAAGAACATGTGCAGCCCATCCACCATACTCGTGAAGCGGTCAATTGTGTATGCCAGCCAGAAGGTCCGCCTTTTCGTTTCAATATCGATCCAGTCATCTTGGACTGACCCCTGAAGAGTGAGTTGCCCTTGATACTGTTCCAGTTGCATGGTGGGAGGTGTTTGGGGTACATCAAGTTCGTACAACCTCATCATCTGGATTAAGCGAAAGGCCCTCCCGGCGGACATCATACCTCGGTGGAAGTCTTGGCATGTCAGCTCATAGATCGCAAGCAAGATCCACGCCTGGGCCTGCTCAAGGGATATTTGGTGACAGGGTTCCTCTGACTCAAGTGCATGCAGAAGTTGTCTTGTCTTTGCGTATAATTTTCGCCCCTCAACTTGGAACTGACTGGAGAGTGATGAGGCTAACGTCCACATCGCATGCTGTAGGCAAGTTTTCTGCTTGCTCCGATTTGGTTGTTTAGACCAAGAACGGTAGCGGTGCTTTTGCAATATGGGCGCAAACGCATAGGCGCGATCGAAATACAGCTGGTCTCTATAAGAAGTATTAGCATAGCTGGTCTGCAAACCAGCCTCCAGCGTCAAGACTTACAGGTCGTTGTGCATCATGGGAGTGATCAGGAGATCGGGTTCCACTTCCATTGGAAACTGGACGAGCTCCTGAAGATTGTCCAGCGAGGGAAATGAGGGAAAGGGCGAGCTTGCGTTTGAATTGTCAAAACACCCCCAGGGCTCCATGTGGATGATGGGAAATTGGAATTCCACCGGTGCCGGCCATAGCGGGATATTACCAGGTGTTTCGGGAGTTGTGCTCATGGTATTTTGAATTTCATTATTGTCTGTACTGCTCCCACTGCTCCCACCGTCGTTGTCCATGTTCCCCTCATCTTGGGAGGGCGAGAAGGCTCGCGACTCAGCAGGAGTTGTAGATGCCCCTTGTTGTTTTTCTAGCTGTGTCTGGAGCTCCTCTGGCGCAGCACGACGTCATCAGCATAAGGGCCAAAGGCGGAAAGAGGAGTTTGATTGTGAGCAGCCCTTACCAATCTTTTTCTGTAGCGTCTTGAGATATCCCTTCCTTGGACCTCTAGGCGGGCAGCTGTCTCGCACTACGCAAGTCACCCCGGAAGTGACACAAGCCGTACATTGCGGCTTTCCCCTATCGCAGCGGATCCTTTTTCGTCGACATTCTTCGCACTTGTCATCAAGCTGTCAGCGCCAAGAGACTTTGAATGGGCGAAGGTGACCACCTACTGCGAGTCCCGGTTGTTGTCGCTGTGGTTGCCCGGCCATAGCTACGTTGGAGCAGGCTATGCTCTGTACTCGACCAGATAGACTATGCCAGTCGCTTTTTTTTGTTGCAGAATGTTGATGCGCTGAACGAAGATTTTGGATGATGTCAAGGAAGAAGCGACAGACGTCTGAGCGTATCCTTTTGGGCCTTTGAAGTATGCCTCCGACAAGATTGTCTTTATCTTTGTGAGGCGGAGAAAAGTGGAAACGGCCGTGGCAATTGAAATCACGTCAACCAGCACGTTCTGGAGCCTCTATCATGCACCTCTTGAGCAAGCTATACGTATGTCAGCAACAGGATCTTCCTAAATTCTCCAGACGCAATCAAACGTACGCAAAAGGAGACGATATTCGTAGTGAGTAGAATAGCGTTTGTCTGTGAGAGAAGCAACTGGACAGGCCAAGAAAAACCCTTGGCATAAGCGACCGAGTCGATCCTGCAGTCGAATAGAGAACAGGAAGCTTGGAATTTATGACGGTCCCAAGTTGCCAGCTCCGACGATTTTGCCGCAGTTTCCGTTCTTGCCAGCAGTGAGCTTCCGACTTCGTATTGAGATGACATGCATCACGCCATTAAGAGTGTAAGACACATGTTGGTTGTTGGCAGCATTCGGCCAGTTGTTAGTGTCGTGTAAGCCGGCGAATCATAGTTGCCAATAAGAGAAAGGATCTGGATCCCTCCTAGTTATCATTTGCACCTGAGTGAGCGCCCTTGTCTTTGCTGACTACACTGAAGAAGCCTTCACAAGCATACAAGAGCATACAAGAGCATACAAGAGCATACAAGAGCATACAAGAGCATACAAGCTTTAGGAAATATCCAGCAGCTTATTCAGAAAATCCCTGTTTGATTTAGCCCCGACATCGGATCACTTGCAAAGTACAAGGGAAAAAGAGGGCTCAGCCCAGGTTAAAGCCCTATTGCCTTAACATTTACTTTCATTTACTTGCTACACATCCCATCAACTTACTGCATCAGTATGTTTTTCTACCATGGTTAGGTGTCGGTGCTGGGATATTGAAGCCTTCAGCTCGTCCGTGTCTGTGCAATACAGTACAGGTAGAAAATGGGTGAGGATAATGATTACGGTGAGATAAGGCTGACCATTCCCAGGCCCCTCCACCCCCCTGAAACGCTCAGTCTGTTGGCGCCTATACAGCTGAAGGAGCGTTAAACGGACTTAGGCGAGCAAGTCAGTCTAGTCAGACAGGAAAAAAAGAAGCGAAGTTTTCCGACATGAGCCTTCCTCTGGCCCGACGTGGCGCAAGCGTATCAGCCCCAGAGCTCTCGCAAGGTTCTCGCTCAGAATATACTCGTCCGAGGCAGTGTTAGGTACATTAGCCGTCCCAGTGGAAATCGAGATATGGCGGAGCTCGGTGGCCCCGGATAAATAAGAAAAATGCCTCACCGTCAAAGGCCAGACCAGGGTGAAGGGGGCCAAAAATGAAAGCGGATCATTTATTGGACGGAGAGGGGGAGCGAGACGACTATATACTACAACGCACAGGGGCGCAGAGCGAGAGCGACCGATGATGCTCGACCGGAGGGGCCAAAAGCTAAGCCGGCTCAAGCTCCCCTGTAGCCGTCCGATATATACGTGGTATCCAGCGTCGGACCTGCACTCCATACGCTCCACCGCCCACGCTGCGCCCTCGAAGCGGAGACCAGATCCTGTCGCCTGCACGTGTATGCCATCTTAATCGGTTCCCGATAGAATGGAACATCGGCGTGGGCTGAGATGGACGGCCGTTGAGGTTGCACAGAATAGCCTTTTGGGAGGCCTAACCCTAACTGCAGCACCTTCAGGGGCCAAACGATTCTACAGTTGTGGATTGTGGCTAGGACATGTATTCTGTGAATGGGGGAAGGGCAGTGGTGGCCGAATTTTTACAAGATCCTCATACAGAGGTTGACCTGGCGTGAATCTAAATTACGACCACGGACCAACGGACTCGATTACCGCCAACACCTTCCCTGGATGTTGAGTACAGCCTTAACAGGGGTTTGTAGCGCCCAGGAGGAATCCTTCACGAAACACTCGACACGATGATTGAGCACCTTATCTGACAGCCAGCCCGCTAAAAGTTGCCTTGAATTTTCCAACACGCTGCCATCATACACGGCCATTCATTGTATTGGTCAAAACATTAATTATTTGCACGTGCATGTCATCATACCACCATGAAGGAGATTTTCCCAGCGCTTATCACAGGTTGCATGATTAACTAGTTAACTAGTGATATTATGTAATAAGCATGTGTTAACGTAATCACCACCGAACACCACCGAACCGCCGATACCGAACCGCCGCCTCGCCACAAAAATCATTGAATTCTTGAAGCCTTCTAATCAACACGTTATTTCTTTGCCAGCCACTATTATCAAAAATGCCGTTATCCAAAGAGAATCGAATACAGATGGCTATATCAGCATATAAAAAGGGACAACTCAAATCAAAAGCAGCAGCTGCCAGGGTTTTGGGGTGTCTAGAAAGACTCTCCATGAATGGCTTTGTGGAATTAAACCACGCGCAGAGACATGTGCCAAGGGCCCATAAGTTAACATCTCTTGAAGAGGAGGTCCTTTCTAAGCACCTACTAGATACTAATAGGTGTGGCTTTTCAATTCAACCACAGTTCCTGCGTGGATGGCGCATATTCTACTATATGAGCGGGCAAATGATCTAACGGGGCTCTGTACAACTTTAAAGGTTATTACTGCTGTAGATTGTAGTATAAGACCTCGTATAGTTACCTAGGGAAACCATGAATAGGTTATAATTATTAAATATATAAGCTCTAAGGGGCTTCCTGTACTACTAATAGTTATCTTAAGAAGAAAAGAATACTAGGCTCCTTAGTACTAAGAATAAAATCTTCCTCCAGATTAGAGGCTCACTAATAGCGCTAATAGCTTGATGATAGATGAGATAGGTCTGAAGTGGCTAAAGGAGGTCTTTAACCCTTTCTCTAGCCTATACTTAACTAGTATAAAGTAATTACTCATTCTTAATAGCTATTCAAACTATCAGACTGCTAAGTTTGATGATTTTTATAAAGAGAATGTAAATATCTATCTTTATATACCTCTATATATATCTTATCTTCTTTAACCCCTAGATGTTAGGGTATTTTGGCTGCTTAAACGCTCATATAGAAACTAGTGGAGGGGATGATGGTGGCTAGAAATAATCATATTAATAAGGAGGATTTTCTCTACCTCTATCCTCCTGCTCATGAAGCAGTATTGAACAAGAGGAATATATACAATAGCTTTAAGTCTTAGATCTTTGGATAAAGATTAGGTCCTTGAGAGAATCACCTTTCAACTCTGTATACCAACACCACCACTTCTCATGGAATAATTAATCTCATCTGCTTTTAAACACCTCAAAACCTTCACTAGCTTGATCACAAAGTTCGCAGCTTACAGAGAAGCCTGTAGAAAAGGATACTTTCTAGTAGTTCAGTCTCTTAAATTTAACATCTTGAAAAGGCTGTGTTAGATGGTAATAAGTATGAATCTTCTTCTTTAACAAGAAAGAAAGGCTCTACAGGCCGAGAATGAGCTAAAAATGAAGAAGAAGATAAGGAAGCATGCTACACTAGGGAATGGCCTCTTTGTATCTATACAGGAAGGTCGTGACCGCATTCAGCCGCTTAATGAGCAGGTTGATGAGCAGGTTGATGAGCAGGTTGATGAGCAGGTTAATAAACTATACCAGAGCCTTGTCAGCGCGCTCCAGCCCGCTGCAGTGGCTGCTGGACTACTGGACATACAATACGGAGTTGCCCTAGCAAATAGCTACATATTCATATATTAGATAATTGATTTAATAGAGTTGGTGATTAGAAGGCTTCAAGAGTTCGATGATTTTTGCGGCGAAGCGGTGGTTCGGTGGTATCGGCAGTTCAGTGGTTGATTACGTTAGTTAACTAACTTCCTGAGACAACAACATGACAATAAGCAACCCCACTTTACCCTCTGATGGGCTAGGCCTAATCTCTGATCATTTATTGATGGGAAAGCAGCTGACGTTGAACAACATACTCAAAGTATCACAAACCAACAAGTTGGGAGACTGAGAAACTGTATTTGTACGGAATTCAGTAGTCACAGAGAATATATGGATATGCATTCCTATCTGCAATAAAGGTGCAAAGGGAAACAACTATCTCACTATCTTCGCAAAACCTTGAGTTACTTTCTTGCCTTTGAGAATTTCGCAGACCATAATGGTCGACACTCATTCAGAGCTTGGTCGCACCAGCCAGGTAACTCTGGAGTCCCTCCTCTGCTTATTTTTAGATTAAATCCTTGGCTGGCAAGCCACCCCAAAACAGCTGAATGCTCGGAGATTCATTGCTCCAGCTGATCTGCCGGGCCGGTCCATTAGACATCACTGATTAAATCGGTCACTGATTGGATGCAGCAGTTGTCTCTTTTGGAGCGATCGCGCCCGGACCGTTTTCCTATCCGAGATGGTAAAGCGTACGGATATAGGTACCTCTCAGGGCAAGCTACA